ATTTTATGGAGAGACAGCTTATGTTGGCAAAAATGACTTCTGAATGCTATTGTTTAATATGTGGGAAATGTATAGGAAGTGTATAATGTGGAAGCACGTAGGAGAGAGCTGAAAGCAGGACTTCTTGATGCAATCTAGAATGGTCTAACTGTGCTTTAATAGCATTAGCTTCAATTCTATAAAGAGATTGTCAAGCCCGAGTGCTCTAGAAAATTACTTCCGCATTGGAGGGCACATTTATCAAGCGTAAGAGGAATGCAGGGCTGGAAAGGACTTTTAGAAGACACTTTGGGCCATCATCTTCTCTTGTGGCCATATCTAGTATGCCTGTGTTTGTCTTGTAATCTGGTTAATGTTGCAGCTTCTATAGACAGGCTGTTCCAATGCTTAGGTGTTTTTTACTGTTCAAAGAATGTTTTTTGGTTTTTTAAGTTTTGGTGGTTTTTTAATGTCTAAACTAACTTTTCTTTGTATATCAAGCCATTTATGTTCTCGGACGTCGGGCAGATTCCTGGTAGTGGTCTGAATAAAAGCAGCACTTTGAATGGAAGAAATAGAACAATCCGTTTTATCTAAAAAATGCAAAAAGGGGAAAAAGAAAAGGGAAAGTAAAAGGCTTGTTCAGTAACCATCCTGGAAAACTGTTTCTACCTCTGAGTCTCTGAGATTACTTAGGGAAGGTATTGGGCCCTGAGATTCCAGAGTTGTTTTCAGGAGCATGGTGAATTTAAAACAAAAAACCTTAATGTCACGACATAAAAAATTACACTTAAATTTACAGGGAGAACTAGTGCTTTCAGGTTGAAGAAAATTATATCCAGTAAACAAGAGTGACCACAGTCTGCAACTTCTAATATTATACTTTGTTGTCCATTACTTTTTTCCCTGCCTTTGGGGTAGTAATTTTCTACAGTGAATCTGACAGCCCAGTCAAAATAATTCATAAGGCCAATGATGAAAAGTACTCTTTATTTTTTCTGGTGTAAATAATCTTTGTCATTCCTCATCTGTCCTGATTTCTTCTTCTTGTTTCTTTGCTTTGTGTTTTCTGAGTTTTTTTTTTAATGCTCCTTCTTAATGTGTATAAGCTCTCCAACTTACAGTGTGCTTTCTGTTCATTGTTCAAGAAGCATCACAAAAGTATAGTCTAAATATCGCTGAAGAAATTGAGCTCTTAAATATGGAAAACCCGTGTGTTACAGGTTTTGCACAAGCAGTAATTTGTCCATGATATCCATCCTAGGTATGGCTATAGAATAGTAACCTGGAGAAGATGGTGCCTGTCTTGTGTGCCATCCCATTTCCTACCCCAACAATGCAGCTTTCACAAAGTTTGGATGTGCAGGAAACGTCCTCTCCATTTCTTTCCAGATTGCAGAGCACCTCAGCGAGGGAGATATTTGAAAGCAAAAGTCAATGCAGTTGAAGAAACATGGCATGCTGAGTGAGACCCAGTACAGCAGGGCAAGCACATAGACTGTCAGGGATTCAGATGGGCATATTCCTTCTGCTTGCTGGGAAGTTTAGGATAAAATTCTGCCGGGCCATAATGTTTACATTCTTATATTATTTTAAGACACTGTTCTATGTTATTACCTTAATGTAGGCTTCCACGTGTATCTAGTTAATGAATGGAAACTTACCATTGCTTTCCATAGAATATGGAAAAGAAGAATATAAAAGAATGTATACTGTTTGGGGTTATATAACCAAAGATTTAAGTACCAATTAATTAGTAATTAGCTAACTAATTAATCTTTAACAGGGTACTTACAGCTCAGAGCTTCTGAGGTGTCTTCAATGACTTCTATCCAGTGTCCTATGTTTAAAATATTTTATATTATCTACATCTAATGATGCGTCATTACTGTTGAGTAATAGTACTAATGGTTCTTCAGCTTTCTCTTTGTAATAGAGATGTCCTTATCTTGTACTTTTGAAAACTATTCCTGATTTAACTAGTTGGAAAATAAAAAGCATATACATGTATATGTAATGGAATTTTTTTTATTTTATACATTTAAAATGGCTTGAGAAAGTTTTAAGTCCTTTGTGGGGAGTGAGAATGGTGTGGAAAAGAATCCTCTTGCTTCAACAAGGCTGTTGTGTAAGTTCATTTTGATATGCTTCATCTGTTGAGTAACTATGAAACTTCAGCAGTTTTAAAACAGAATATTGTTTGGGGAATCTGTCCTTTTCACTCTGCCGTGAAATTCGTGTAAATACTAGTTATTGACTGTGCATAAACTTTTGAGAAACATTCCTTGTTGGGCAGAGAATACTTACATAAATTACAATCCCAAAAAATAATTTTTGCACTTCTGTGAAGGAAGATATTTAACAGAGTTGGCAAATTTTCCTTTAGCTGCATTCTCCCAACAGACAGTTAATTCAGATGAATAGTTCTAGTCTCATCTTTTTCTCTTCTGCTCTTGCTGTTTAAATGTCAATTCAGGAAAACAGGGCATGTGTCCCCCCCCCCCCCCCCCAAGTTAAATATGCTAGTTCCATTCTCTTCTAGATAACTACTTACATATTTGAATATGCATTTATGTACCTGAATTTAATTAGTGTCTCATAACCGCTGTTGTTAATGCAAGGTAGGATTCCATGCTGGATTTTTAAATGTAAAAATATATTATTGTCTCTGTGGAAAACTGCTGGATTGGCATGACTACAGAATGTTCTCTTCTAAATGATAACGAGTTTCACTTAGGAAACCGATGCAACATTTCACAGGCAATTCTATCAGTGCAACTTAATTCTTATCTCGTGGTTTTACCCAAGGCTTGTAGTTCACAAAAGTATTTTCACTCTGAGGCATAAGCAGTGGTCTCAGTGCAGTGCTGTTTGTTCCAGACCTGACATTACTTATCTCCATTGCCCTAGTGTTTGAGTTGCAATGACCTGACTTGCCTGAAAGCTCATTCAGCCACTCTAATAAGGAGGAGAAAAAAATCACCTCTGTGAGTGTGTTAAAAGTACTTAAAGGTAGTTTAGTGTTTGCATTACCGAATTTCAGGTCCACTTAGATGCATTTCACGTAAAGGGTAAATTGTAATGGTGACTATAATTGCTTTATGTGAAGCAGGTGGAACTCCCTAGTTTCTAATGCAATATAGTCAATGTCTTAAGTTTGATTGCAAGGTTGGTATACTAAAGTTTAGGTTCTACCATGTGCTGTGGGCATCCATATAAAGAGATACAGTAGTAACCAGTGTTTTGTGTGTCCAAACCCTAACTGATTACACAATAACTTTTTTTTTGGGCAGGTTTTGTACTAACAGTTCTCCAGTGCTCAGAGTCTCTAGGCCTTGGCTGAACTTGTGGCAAAAAGTCAGAATGATCACTTAAAGCTTGTTCTATTTCAAGCAATCAGAGGGGATGAATCTGAATAAGAAACAGTGTCTAGCCCTCCTCTGCTCCCTTCTGCAGTCTTTCAAAGCTCCAGTGGGGCAGCAGTTACTTCATACTGTTCTGCAGTGTTCAGAGAGGAGGCACTTGTGAGTGGAGCACTAGCCTTGGAGACTTATGTCAGCTCCTTGAACTCCTCCTTTATGATTTTTTGTTAAGTCATGTAGGATGGGAGACATTTCATCCCAGTTCTAGTCGTCTGAAAGTTATATCTAGCCTCAACCAGTCATCCTGTTTAAATCTCTTAGGTCGGACCTAACTGCATTCTGGTACTCCTTGCACACTCTCTTGCTGTCTTTCACACTCTCTCTCTGTTTTGTGTCAAGGCAACAAGAAGGAGAGCAAGGCACTTCCAGAATCAGCTTTGGGTGAGACATGTAGATTTTAGGTGGCTAAAGTTAGGTAAAGTGAATTCCACTGGTAGTCATTTTTAGTCTCTGTTCACACATGTAAATGAGGATAAGACCATATATGAAGAAGAACTATCATGGTCAATGCATATGTGGCATTGCATTGGTATGCATAAAGCAAGGATGGCTGTGCTATGAATTTTTGTTAGGGTGTTTGATCTCCTGCAAAAGCCATGTAGAAACCCTTGGGCTTTATGAGCATTTGCTAAGGGTTCCTTTGAGCTGGTTTCTTCCTCCCTATCTCAGGTTGCTTCTACATTGCTTGGGAGTCCCATTGATTTGTCAGTGCCTCCTCTAACATTAAATACCAGTGTGTCTGCAGGTCCTGTGCAGATGTGGACTGGCAGGGTAGTAAGTGCCTTTCAGCTCCCACCAAGATTTGGTGGAAAGTAGGGGAAAAGCAGTTGATGCCTGCTACTTCATTACAAACAGATCTCAGCTGGACACTGGAGTTACCAATTTTAAAATCTGGGGAGAACACTTGGAACTGAATGAAGATTTTTTTTAGTTTTATGGCCCAGACTCTAGTTGAAGATTGAAGAATAAATGAAACTATTTTCCATAACTAATTTGACATCTTTATTTCCTGTTTCATCACCTTTTTTTTTGTCCCCAAATACTTACGATATATAAGGCTGAAATCCTAGTATGTGGGGGAAAACAAGCAAATAATCCCAACAGTATAAACTTAAATTCATAAATCTGAGACTTGCAACCAGCCTGCTGTACAAGAAAACAGATGCCATGCAATAAATTAATACTAAGCTGAATAATAAACAAGACGTATTGTTAAAGGTCTTCAATGCAAAGAAAGTGATTTCAGACTTTCATATGCTTGTTTTCTGTCTTTGTTTAAATGAGGCCCTTGCATGTGTTTTCTTTATTGTTCTCTTTTGCACACATTTGAGCTTTGTTGGGTTGAGAACTGTCTCTGGTTGGGCAGTGGTGATTAACTTACACTAAATAGGCAGCAGTAATGTGATTTGAGAATGAAAAGGATTCATTTCTTTTAAATGAGGGGAAAAAACCCAAGGTTGAAGGAAATAGTTTACATAATCTGTAAACTAGTTAAGGAGCTGAATATTTATGCAGGTTGAAATTGAAGCTTAGTTGCCCTCTAGGGGTTTTACATTAATACAGCATATGCTAGCTTTTGGGTGGGTTTTTTTCTTTCAGAATAAAGGTGAGAGAAGTCTTTGGAAAAACTTACATACTGACAAATCTGTGGTGGTGGAGGCATGTGTACATCTGCATTCAGTGAGTAGAGCTCATTTAGTTCAGAACCCAGAAAATGGCAGAAAGATTTTTAGCCAGATTATGTTCTTGTAATTTCAGTGTACCAGTGGAAAAGGTACTCACAGTCATCCAGTCATAGCACTGAGAGGTCCCAACCAGGAATGGTCCTTACGTAGAAGTCGGGATACACCACGAAGAGCTTTTCAGTCCTAAGGAGACATGGAAGACAGAAGGTTACACGGGATTGTAATGGTGCTGCTGAGAAGGCCACGGTAATGGCAGCATTAAGACCCTCACTCAGTTTCTGCTTGTGTCCAAGCCACTGAATGCTGCTTTGAATTCCTAGCATCCTCAGCTGCCACTGCCTAACGTGCAGGGGTCTTCTGTCACATCTTCCCTTAGAGCAGCTGGAGCCCTGTTTATGGATCCTGTGATTGAAGTTGTTAGAAACGGACTTTGTCGCGTTGTTTAAAAAGCAGTTGACAAAAACTGAGTAGTTCTTGTTTGGGTAGCATATGATATTTCGTAACAAGTATCCTCATGCCATGGGAAGGAGTGTGACTAAAATGGCTTCTAAACTAAAGCCACACATATATTTCTCCTCGTCTAAACTTTTAATGCCAATGGTTTTGTAGCAGCTGCATTGCTAATATTTGCTTGAAGAATTGCTAAATAAATTCTTTAAAGTGCAGTTGTTTTTCTGACTATGGAAATCACATTTATGTGATTATTTTTGCAGTTTCTTTCATAACAGTGTTGAGACTGTATTACTCTCAAATCTTTTTGCATCAGAAAGAAGATACTTGGAGCAGGCAGAATAGATGCAGGTAAACAAGCACCTCCTGCCAAGCTTGAGTACATGTGTGCGTACAGCTTGAGGAGCACAGCGTAGTCGACTGTCAGAAGTTAGAGCACTGTCCCCGAGGCTTCATTATACCAAACTAACTCTGGATTAGTGCCAGTAAAGTCTATGGTGTTACACAGATTTTCATACCGTTTGCCCATTAAGCCTTACACTGAAGAACAGTTCCTCTTTTTTGAGGGGCTTTCATAGCTGACAAAGAGTTCCTGGTGCATTTTGTTTTGCTTTGTGGATTTGTCAAATGCTTGTTTGTAAATCCTCTGTCCACAAGTATTTCATTTTACCATCTTCAAAATTATAACCTTTGCTATGGAGAAATGGCCACATATCTTAATTTCTCTATATAATCAGGTTTGTTAATAGAACCCCTTATACGCATAGACTTCTTTGGCCTGGTACTGTTTGGATCCGACAGCCAGTAGCGTCACAGAAGCATCTGCTTGGTTGTATCTGCTGTATGCTTGGGCATGACATCACGCCTGCAGCCTGGTGCTTCCTTGTCAAAACAAATGACTTTATCAGCACAGCTCTTATGTCATCAGTTCTGCCTTCTCCTGCTCTCTGATGCTTGGTATCTATGCCCAGTCTGCCTGGGCAGTAAATGATTCCTGGAAGCTGTGCATCGGGCCAAAAGACGTGGCAAGTTAGAGGGGAGGGTGGGTTGGTTTTTTTTAGGATTTTTTTCCTCCCTTCTGTCACCAGTTTCCCTCCGTGAGTAGAAGCACCTGAGCTGATTGCTATCTTTAGGCAAGCTTTTGGTCCAGAACAGAACTGCTCTTTAAGTATGGTTGTAGTAAGCTGTCGGTCTTGCATTGTCCTGAATAGCACTGGCTTCAACTGTTCAGTTTAATGTCTCTGAAGAGCTTGAAGAAAGTGTGTATTTCTAGCTCAGGGAGCATGTGTGGCATGGGGGAGTTCGTGATCGAGGGGAGAATCGTAATCTCCCTGTTCCTGCAGGGCAGCGTGCAGTGCTCACAGCTCATGGAGAGTTTTCCAGGACCTGAACAAAATACTGAGTTGTAGCGCTTTGTCATTTGAAAAAGCTTTTGTGCAGCAGTTTCAAAGATACAGCAAGAGTATCGTGGCTGGATTATTTGCTGTCTGGTATTCAGGCCTTTTTAGTTATCTGGTTATCGCAGTCATTTATTTGAAACAAGTACTGACTTACAGAAGACGGAAGATAAACGTTACGCAGTTACTACCAAATTTCCAGATCGTGCTAAGCTTTGGTAGTGTGCTTTCTTGTCACATCATTAAAACTCATCTCTTCAAAAACATGAATAGGGAAGTCTGAAATTCTGACTGCCTACATAGTCAATGATGCACTTTCTTTTGAAAAAGCAATTAACGTATTTTATCACACTGTGGCCACCATTGCAAAGTGTCAAGTTACTCTTCAGTATACAGTTCAGAATATAGACACAGGACTTTTTTTTTTTCTGAAAAATTGCACGTCTGGTTCTGTCATCCTTACAAACGCTGAGAGTACCTCATTCAGCAGAAATTCTTCCCACACTGGCATACGCTGAAGGCTAGTAATTTTTGAAAAAAGAGAGAGACTAAACATACACTGCAAACCAAGGTAAGTACCTGGCAGCCTGTTTTGGAGATGTTGGAACGATGGTTGGGAAGGAATATAGGATGAATTGTGACCTGTAAGGGAAAGTCACTTCCTCTTGTAAGAGAGCATAAGTGTATTAATCTTTAATATTGTATCCTTGCTGGAGTGCCCAGAAGGCCTGAAATTTTGACCCTAGTCTGTACGCCCCATCCCACCCCCACCTTCCAGCTGGAACCTGAAATCAGTTTCACTTTTGCTTAGAGGGTATTTTGTTTCATTCAGAGGAGGAAGAAATAATAACAACTACCACCACCTTCAGTATTGGAACTTTGAGTTAAAATCATACTTTTGGAAATACAGTAAATTGAACTTAGCGGGGGAAAAAATATCGCCAAAGCAGCATGCTGTAAATTAGAGCTGGTGTGATGGTGGAATAGCTGTGTAACTGCTTCTTCAAGAGTTACATAAATGACCTGCTCTATCTCCACCGTGTGGTAGAAGGACATTACTGCTATTTCTGCCACTCGGTGAATCTCTGGGTTTTATAAATAGATTTTTTTTTTTTTTTTTTTTAAATTTTGGAGTTCAGCTTTTTTAACTAAGGAGTCAGTCACTATGGGACAGAGGGAGGGGGATGTTGTTTCTTTTAATCATCTGTTATGCTAACTTCTCAGCTGTCCCTGAGTGGCTCAGCAGCTCCCGAAGGAGGTGGGAGGATAAGCAGCAACAAGGCTACTCTGCGCAGCTCAAGTTGGATGCGCTTGTTTATATAGAAACAGGCAGTGACAGACAGTAGCCATGGGGGAACTTGCATTTGTTCCAGTTCTGCCTCTTCCAGCGCCTGGTATGGTAACGCTTGATGTCAGGGATACTTACTGCAGGGTGGGAGGAAAATTAGATCAAGTCAGTCTTAAAGGAAGCAGTTGTTTAAAAACAGTGCAGTTTAACTAGGTGGCTGTGCTCGTTGGGTGTGCTTTACCTGAAACCTTATGTAGAAGGCAATGCTTGTACTTGACAAGAACATTCCTAAAGCAAGTATCTTTAGTAGATAAATCATGATTTACCCAAGTAAACTGTTTCACAGCATTGTGTTTACTTTGCTTAAAAGGGATTTTTTTTTCTTTTTGTCATTTCAATGGGAAGAAAAAGAGGTCTGCTTTTCTTGACAAATCTGCCTGAATAGCCCAGCAGATTGTCATCTTTGAACACTTGAATCTGCCTTGCTTGACAAAGTACAGTCACTGCAAAGCCTTATAGATAATAGTTAGGCCCCTGCTACTTTTCCTCTATCTTCTAAGGACATAACCCTCTTCTTTGTACTGCTGTGCTCTGGGTGTCTTGCTTAGTTAGAGGCAGGAGAGCTTGTCTCTTAGCTCTGAAAGAGCTGGGGTGCTGGAACTTACTTCATAAATGTGACAGTGTACTGTATTTCTGTGTGTTTGGGGCAAAATACACACACACATATGGATATGTGTGTATACACACACATATGAAAAATGCTGACGGAAATCCAGGATGAGAGATCAGATCAGGGCAAGCTTGTGCCCACTACACTAAAGCTAATAAGTAGATATTTCTCTGCATCATCTGTGCCAAAGTTCCATTTGCTGTTGAAGTCCAAGTTCTGTTGAAATTCTAGTCGCTAAAGGCGTATTACTAATAAATTGTGTATACCACAGCATTTCGTCAGCATTCAGCAATAGTCAGGAAAGTACTAGCTTAAGGTGTACATTTTTTTAGAATCTTCTTTTCTGACTGTGATTACTTAGGAAAACATTTTCTCTAGTCAAGTTTCATGTGTGCATTCAGAATTCTTACCAAACTGAAACCTAACTTTAATCTTTCCACCCCTCGTCCCCCAAAAGTCATTTTGGTCAGATCTCGTGTGCAGGACTGATACAGAAACGTAGAATGACTGTCCTTGTCCAAGCGGCAAAACTAAGAGCTGCTGAAAATACCATGAGATTGCATGTGTATTTTTTTTCAGAACTCTGTTTTTTAACTCTTAATTACTTTAATCTGGCATATTTTTGTTAACTGTTTTAAGTATTTGTCTATTTTTTGTTAGTTGTACTGATTGGGTTGGCTTGAATTACTCTTTGGCTGTGTTCCTCAGGCTTTTTTTTTTTTTTTTTTTTTTAATGAAACAATTTTTCTTAAACTTGCTGCTTTTCAGTTTCATTCACTGTCTCTTAGTGCTCATTATGAAATTAGGAAGAAAAGGTCCAACAATCTGCTGTGGACAAGTTGGGGGTTAATTGGAACAGACAGAAGTACTTCCCTGCTGTTGCTTGGGGTTTCTGGATATACCTCTGACAAACATCCGCAATTCTCAGTCCGAATGGGAGCAAATTTTACACTGCAGAGCATGTGTAGTGAGTCTGGTGGGAGAGGTTCCCCCAGTGCGAGCCTCTGCATCGCATGGGAATGGGACTGTGTCTTCATCGTTCGTGGCTTTCTTGGATTTATTTGTCATTCCTTGATGCTAGTTTCTTAAAATCCTCTTTTTTCCCAGAAATTTGGTCTTTAATGATCGTTGGGTTTGGAAACAAGAAACCCTGTTAATGTCTCTATAATAAAAAGTAGATCAACAGCTGAGCAATGACTTCTCTTTTGAATTAAGTGATGTTGGAGAAGCCCCGTGTGCCTTACATGTGTTCTCAGAATTAGTGTGGTATTGTGGTTTCTAAAAAAACCCAACAAACAAGACAAATGAAAAAAACTATGTTTTTGATAACTTTTGAAACAGAACGTTTAAATAAGCCATTGCTTTCCTATATTCACTTGAAAAGCCCCTTCTAAGCCTTAATTTCAGAAAAGAAATGCTTTTGCCAGGTGTGAGCAGTTGA